GTTTTTCACATTGTACTACTACTCCATAGAGGGGGAGGCTGTTGGTTTTGGCCCAAAGGCTTGTCCATCAGAGCACAGAGCTACAAAGGTCGAGTCTGGGATGTTCAGTGAAATCACCTAATCATGGAATCACAACGTTGGAGCGTATCAGAGCTGGAAGGAAACTCACCGGTCTTTTTGTCCACCCTCCTCCTTGTAGCAGAGGAGGAAACTGAGGCCCATGAAAGGGAAGTAGCTCACTTGAGGTCACAGTGAGTTTGATGGCTGAACTGAGATTAGCACATGAGTTTTCTGACTTTTAAGTCCAATGTTCTTTTAGCTTCCTTTGTCTTTGCTTAAAAAGACATTCCTCATACGTCAATGAGGAACTCCTGCCCCCAACATTTAAGCATCCATCTTTTGATTGGAATTGTTGACTCTTCCTCCTTCTCCTCTTTTTCTTTGTCTGTTCCTTTCCTTTCCATTCCCGTTGCCATCACTTTAGTTCAGGTCCTCATCACCTCCAGACTGAGCTATTAAATAGCCTTCTAGCCAGCCTCCAGTATCTCTTCCTTCAGTCCATCCTGCCTTGCTTGCCAGAATAATTTTCCCAATGTACAGGTCTGACTTTGTCACACCCCTCTCCCCTCTCCCTCCTTCCTACAAAATTTAGCATTTCCCCAATGCCTAGAGGTTCAGTTCCAAACTCCTTACCCTGGCAACCACGTTCTACCTTTCTCCTACAAACCCACCTTTCTAGCCTTACCTTCCATTAATCTTTTTCATGTCTGTTACGATTCAGCTGAACTTAATCACTGAACATTCTGCTCACGTGTCTCCTGCTACCCTATCACGCCTTTGATCATTTTGTTCATCATGCGTGGAGTTCCTGTCTCTTCACTTGTCTGTTGAAATCCTACTCATCCTCCAAGGCCCAGCAGGAAACCCTTGTTTTCACCTAAGTCAGTAACGATTCTGTGGGTCTCCAGAGCCCTTGTAGCCAGCCTTTTGCCCATACCGCTTTTATATACTTATACTGTAATGTGTTATAGTTATTTGTGTATGTGTTTATTTTATTAAAAACCCCATAATGGCCATGACTTAATTTGCCTTTGTCTTTGTTAGTATCACTTACATTTTGTCATCTAATGCCCCTTCCGGTTGTGTCATTCTTCATTCTAGGGTTCCTACTAATTCTCTGTGTGTGTGTGTGTGTGTGTGTGTGTGTGTGTGTGTGTGTGTGTGTGTGTGTATGCTTATTCATTTATTCATTTATTTATTTACTTACTTACTTATGCTTGATGGCAGGATACCAGGACAATCATCTCCCTTACTCTAGACACTGAGTATTATTAATTTTTTTCCCCCAATTACATGTTAAAACAATTTTTTAACATTTTTTAAAAAGTTTCAATTTCCAAATTCTATCCTTCCCCCCTCCCTGAGATGGTAAAAATCCAATATAGTTGTACATGTGCAGTCATGTAAAACATTTCCACATTAGTCATTTTGTATAAAAAGACTTGAATTTTAAAAAAAGGAATGAAAGAAATAAAGTGAAAAATAGCATGCTTCAGTCTGTATTCAATCGAAAGAAATAAAGAAAGTGAAAAATAGCATGCTTCAGTCTGTATTCAATCAATATCAGTTCTTTCTCTGGAGGCAGATAGTATGCTTCATCCTTACTCCTTTGTCATTGTTTTGAATCATCGTATTGCTGAGAATTCCCGTCTTTCACTGTTCTTCATCTTACAGTCGTACATCGTACAATAGCTGTTGCTATGTAGAACATTCTCCTGGTTCTGCTCATTTCATTTTGCATCAGTTCATATAAGTCTTTCCAGGTATCTATCAATTCTTAACATCCAGTTTTCTGAGATTCTTTCTAGTCTAAGATTCTTACCAATTCTTAAACATTTAGTTTTCTGAGTTCTTTACAGCTTTTCCACACTTTGGTCTTTGTTCCAAGCTCTGGATTAGAACCCTAGGTCTTCTAGCTTGATTGTTCAGTAATTCTCCCAACTTTTGTATATTATGTTAGCTGTATCTGTCCTTTGAAAGGGGATAGCAAAAACCTTTGTTCCTCCATTTCAGTCATATCCAGTCTGGCTCAGACTCTGATTAAATTCCTCCTGTTAAACATTAGTCCAGTCAGATGGTCCTTAACTCCTCCCCTAGACTCCATTCTTTTATTGGCGTGGAGACATTTATTGATGCAATGCCTCTGAGTTGCTTGGGGGAAGTCATTTAACCTCCTGAGGTCTCATTTTCTCCATCTATCAAATGAGCATAACTGGCCACTTCCCTGTTCCTTCTGGGACCTGAGAGCATGCACAGAGTTTACTTGGATTTTAAGGTTTCCTGGAGAAAAGAGCTAGCCCTCATTCCTGTAGAATGTGATGATTATTACTGTAGAGCCATTTAGTCAATACATAATTAATATTTGAGTATAATTAGTTGTTCATAAATTATTAGAGCTCCGTGGAACTCTGGAGGTATTGGGAAAGTGTGGTCAATCCATCACTTCATCATGATCCAGTTATAATTAGTTTTGAAATCTTGTTAAGCAGGAACGTGCATTTCACCAGAACAGAATAGTGTCTCCAGAATTTTGGCTTAAGACCTAGGCTTGCCCATCATGGGCCTTCTACATTAGTAGCCCATCCTCCTTAATCCTTGGCAAATAGACATAGCCAGGGGGATTAAAGGGCAGAAAGTTTCACTGAAACATCTTGCTTCCGTCTCTCTGCAAAGATCTTTCCTTCCCTTGTTTAGGTTTTTGGGAGTTTTCTACTCCCAGTATGGTATAGTAGAAAGAGCACTAGACTTGGAATCCGAAGATCTGGGTTCCAGTCCAAAGAGATCCCCAAAAGTAGAGTAAAATGATGGTGCCAATCTGTTGAGATTAAATTAAATAGGGATCCATGAGGAGCTGCAAATATACAGGATGAAACATTCATAACTAGACAACATTTTGGTGGAAAAGACAGGAGATTCTAGTGGTGAGCTCAGGGTGAGTCAACAGTGTGTCATATGAGTTTAGGCTCAGTGTCTGGAGTACAGGAGATGATTGTCCTGGTGTCCTGCCATCAAGTGTAAATTTGTACCATACCAAGAAGCTCTCCTACAGTTATCTTTTTTTTTTTTCCTGTAGACATTTTTTCTATTCATTTTGAACTTAAATACAAAAAACAAAAACAAAAAAAACAAATAAAGAACATTTCCAGCAGCACCTTAGACAAATCCTTTTTACTCTTTGCTTGAGGGTAGCTGTTAATCACTAGCATTTATACAGTGCTTTAAGGTTTGCAAAGTGCTTTACAATTAGTGTCTCATCTGATCTTCACAACAATGCTGGGAGGTAGGTGCTATTATGATCTCCATTTTACAGTTGAGGAAATTGAGACAAATAGGTTATGTGACTTGCCCAGGGTCACACAGCTAGGAAGTGTCTGTCTGAGACTACATTTGAACTCATCTTCCTGACCCCAGGCTCAGGACTCTCTTCAGTGTACTGTCTGGCTGCCTCTAATGCAAGGAACTCACTCCCTCCTGAGGCAGGTAGCCCATAGTGTGTATAGCTCCTTTCTTTGACCTGAGCTCTCTTCTGTTTCTTAGATAGTAATCACAATGGTGGACTTTTGGATGGTGATTGCTGGTTTTTAAACTAGTCTGATCCTTTAGCTCTCATTGAGTCTTCCATACACACCTGGGCAGGGATTATTATCCCCTCTCTATAGGCAAGAGGAGAGAAAGCACCTTACTCAATGTCTGTCTGTCTGTTTGTCTGTCTGTCTGTCTCTCACTCTTCTCTCACTCTCTCTGTCTCTGTCACACACACACAACACACACACACACACACACACGCATGCATGCATGCACATGCAGTGAGTCAGTCAGGGGCAGAGTTGAGACTGGAACTCACATCTCCTGACTCCCTCACTTTGTCTCCAAGTGCTTTTGACTTCCTAGCAAGGAGTCAGCTAAAAGTTATTTAGAAAGATGAGACAAGACTAGTATGGTGAAAAGAGCACTGTATTTGGAATGAAAAGACCTGGATTTTTTGCTGTCTGACTCAGCTACTGACTTTGACCCCAAACAGTTCATTTCAGCTCTGAGACTCAGACTTTCAAACGGGGATTCCCTCTGCACTGCTACCCTCCTAGGGCTATTGGGGAGAGCAAATAAGAGACAAGTTGGAGAAGTACTTTGTAAGAATAAGATATTATATAAATGTGAGGATTTTCTGTTGCTGTGGGGCTGAAGCTGGGCCTGGAATAAGAGTTATAATTTGTGTTTCTACAGTGCTAGGAGGTTGATAAAGCTCTTTACATACCTTATTCCATTTGAACCTCAGGACAACTCTGTGAGGTAGGTACAGGTATTGAAGGTGATTTGTTCCCATTTTGTACATGAGGAAACTGATTCTGTAGGAGGTAAAGTGAGGGATTATTCATGTTCACACAGCTAGAAAGCATTGGTGGTGGGGTTCAAACCTGGGTCTTCCTGATTTCCAAGTCTAGTCAGTGCTTGGCCCAGTGCCTGATGTATAATAGGTGCTTAATAAATATTTATTGACTGACTGATTGACTGTATTAATTCACCTTGCCAAACTGCCTGGAAAAATGGGTGCAAACATAGGTGTTTCAATCACGTCTGACTCTTCATGACCCCTTTTTGGGTTTTCTTGGCAAAGATACTGGGATGGTTTGCACTTTCCTTCTCCAGCTCATTTTACAGATGAGGAAACTGAGACAAATGGGGCTAAGTGACTTTCCCAGGGTCACACAGCTAATCATTGTCTGAGGCTGAATTTGAACTCAGGTCTTGCTGACTCCAGGTCTGGTGCTCTATCTGCTGCACCACCTAGGTGTTTAACTCATGTTTTGATTCTTTGTTGCTTCAGAATATTGAGGTTGAATTTTGTTTCTCTCTCTCTCTCTCTCTCTCTCTCTCTCTCTCTCTCTCTCTCTCTCTCTCTCTCTCTCTCTGTTCTTCTTTTCCCTTGCCTCCCTTTGTAGTAGCGGTTCCTTGTGAAGATGTCCAATAACAGTGTGGACATCCAGGACAAGCCTCCGGCCCCTCCGATGAGAAACACCAGCACTATGATTGGAGCTGGCGGGAAAGACGCTGGGACCCTGAACCACGGCTCCAAACCTTTGCCTCCAAACCCTGAGGAAAAGAAGAAAAAAGACCGATTTTATCGCAACATCTTACCAGGGGATAAGAGTACGTGCACCATTTTGTTCCTTTCTCCACCTTTCTAAGTTGTTTGGCTTTTAAAGACCGATTTCATTTAGAGCCCAGATCCAGGGTTCTTTGGCAGCCACTAGTTCAGTGTTTCAATTGCAATAAAATCATTTAGTTCATGAGCATTTATTAAGTGCCAACTATGTGCCTAGCACTGTGCTAGGTAATGGAGATATAAAGACAAAAGTGAAAATTCCTGCCTTCAAGGGGCTTACATTCTGTAGGGGGAGACATGTACATATAGACTATGTTCAGTAAAAATGCAAAATGGTTTTTAGAGGGAGGGGCTCTAGCAGCTAAGGGAGGGGGCAACAGGAAAGGCTCCCTGTGGAAGGTGTTACCTTAGCTGATGCTCGAAAGATTAAGGGATTCTAAGAGGCAGATGCAGATGTAAGGTGGCCAGGACAAAGGGCACCTTTGGCGACAGAGATAGGAGATGGAGCATCACGTCACGTGCAAGGAAGAGCAAGAAAGCCCCTTCGACTAGACTGTAATGTGCTGGAATAAGATCTTAGTGCAGGTTTAAGCTATTAAAGCTTAAACTTTTGAGACCTGCTGTATAATGACTTTAGACTGGGGCTAAATTGTGCAGACCTCTAAATGCCAAGGAGAGGATTTTATACAAACTGTTCCCAAAATCAGTGATGGACTTTAATAGCTTGTGTAAACTATTTCGCAGGCTATTAAAGCTTATCACTGCACTAAGACTTTTGGAACAGCTTCTATTTGATCGTGGAAACAACAGAGAGCCACAGAAGTCTATTGAGTAGGTGAGTGACCTAGTTAAATTTGTGCTTGAGGGGAATCAGTTTGGCAGCTGTGTGGAGAATGGATTGGAGTGGGGAGAGACATGAGACAAGGAGGAGAATTAGGAGGCCATTGTAGTAGTTTGGATGAGAGGTGATGAGGGTCTGAACCTAAGAATGGGTGGAGAGAAGGAGATGCATTCTGGAGATGTGGTGCTAGAAATGGCAAGACTTGGTAAGTAATTGGATATATAGTGTAAGGGAGAATGAAGACTTGGTGATAATTTTGAAGTTGGGGTCCTAAGAGATTAGAAGGATGATGGTGCCTTCAGTGGAAATAGAGAAATTCAAAAGAGGTGTGGGTTTTGTTTTTTTTGAAAGATAATGGGTTCTGTTTTGGATATGTTGAATAGGACATCAGTTTGAAATGTCCAGGAAGTTGTTGGTGAGGTGGAATTGGAGCTCAGGAAAAAGAGGAGACTTGATATATCTATATTTTGCGAAATCTATGTTTTGCAATAATCAACATACAGATGATGATGAAATCCATGGGAGCTGATGACATCACCAAGTAGAAGAATATCTAGAGGGAAGGAGATCCAAGAAAGAGCTCAGGGGTAAGGAGCATGAGATGGAAGAGGACTGGGCAGAGAAGACTGAGGACCCATCAGCTACATCAGAGGAAAACCGGGAGAGAATAATGTTATCAAAACCGGGAGAGAAGAGAGAAGATTCAAGAAGAGAGGGTGATGAGGGGCAGCTAGGTGGCACAGTGGATAGTGCACCAGCTCTGAAGTCAGGAGGAGCTGAGTTCAAATCCAGCCTCAGACACTTACCAGCTGTGTGACCCCTGGGAAGGTTGCTTAACCACGATTGCCTCAAAAAAAAAAAAAGAAGAGAGGGTAATCAACAGTTTTATAATTGTAGGGAAGTCAGGAAGGATGAGGACTAAGAAAAGACCATTAGATCTGGCAAGTGAGATCATTGGTGACTTCGGGGACAGCAGTTTCATTTGAGTAATGAGGTTGGAAAACAAATTGCAGAGTGCTTAGAAACGAATGGGAGGAGAGTAAGAGGAGAAAGTAGAGAACTTTCTAGGATTTTACTTACTGAGAAGGGGAGGAGAGATGCTTGGATACTCTTGAGGAGATGGTAGCTTCTTGTGAAGGCTTTTTTTTTTTTAAGGATGGAGGACACTTGGACATATTTGTAAGTGGCAGAGAAGGAACCAGTAGATGAGGGAAAGGATTGGAGGCTAGAAAGAGAGATGAGGGATTAGTGAAGAAGAGGTCATTTGTTGGAGGAGACAGGAGGAGATGTGATCAAAGGCACATCTAGAGGAGTTGGTTTTGTGGAGAAGGGCCACCTTGTCAGAGAAGGAGGAAAAAGTGGGAGATGTTGTATGATATAGTAAAAAGGAGAAGAGGGAGCTCTTGGCAAATGACCTATATTTTTCTCCATAAAAACAGTCAGTCAACTAGCATTTATTAAGCATATATTATGTGCCAAGAAGGGCAGCTAAGTGGCTTATCTTCCTGAGTTCAAATCTGGCCTCAGACACTTACTAACTGTGTGACCCTGGGCAAGTCACTTAATCCTGTTTGCCTCAGTTTTCTCATCTGTAAAATGAGCTAGAGAAGGAAATGGCAAAGTACTCTGATATCCCTACCAAGAGAACCCAAAATGGGGTCCCAAGAGTTGGACATGACTGAACTGACTGAACAAAAACAAAATATGCCAAACCTTGTATTTAGTAAGGTCCTCAGCTGTGAGAGGGTGAGGGGAAGATGAGGTGTAAAGGGGGTTCGAGGACAGCTTTGGAACAGATTCTTTAGGGAATAGTTTAATCAATTGTTGTTTGTCCCTTGTTTTTTTTTAAATAAATTAATTTATTTTTAGTTCTCAACATTCACTTCCACAAGATTTTGAGTTCTCCCCATTTCTCCCCTCCCCCACCCCAAGACAGTGTGCATTCTGAATACTCCTTCCCCTAATCTGCCCTCCCTTCCATCACTGTCCCACCTACCCCCTCTTCTTTTCTATTTTCCTGTAGGGCAGGATAGATTTCTGTACCTCATTGCCTGTATATCTTATTCCCCAGTTGTATGTAAAAACAGTTTTTAACATTTGTTTTTTAAAACTTTGGGTTCCAAATTCTCTCCCTTCCTTCTTCTCCACCCACCCTTATTGAGAAGGCAAGCAACTTGATACAGGTTATACATGTGTAGTTATGCAAAATGCTTCCATAACAGTCATGTTGTTAAAAACCAACTATATTTCCCTTCATCCTATCCCATCCCCTGTTTATTCTATTCTGTCCTTTGACCCTGTCCCTCCTTAAAAGTGTTTGCTTCTGATTACCCCTTTCCCCAATATACCCTCACTTCTATCATCTCTCCCTCTCTTATCCTGTTCCCCCCATTTTCCTGTAGGACAACATAGATTTCCATACCCAATTGAGTGTGTAGGTTATTCCCTCCTTAAGCCAAATCTAATGAGAGTAAGATTCACTCATTCCCTCTCACCTTCCCCCACTTCCCCTTTGTCCCTTGTTCTTGAAGAGGGCCAGTGACATCATGAGGGTGATGACTTGTTTGTGATTAAGTGAGGTAGAAGTTGTGAACCTTACTCTCATTAGGGAGGAATAAAAGGATTGCCTTGCTATGATGAGGACCCCGATGAAGTTAGGGAATGTAAATTGGTACCGGACTGGGTCATCTGGGTCATGGGACTTCTTCCGGCTCTGTTCAGCCGTAGTGAGTAGGGGCCGATGTGGTAGACAAATGATGGCTGATTTGGGGACAGTACTTTTGACTTTTATGAAGTGCTTTCTATCTGTTATCTCACTGGAGCCCAATCAATGCCAGTTCTGTGAGGTGGGTGCTACGAGTTTTATTCTGATTTATACAAGAGGATACTGAGCCCATGCCACGTAGTTATTAAGTATCAGAGGCTGGGTTCTCTTCCACGTCTTCTTTGCTCTAAACCCAGGACTCTATCCATTATGTTACACAGCCTCACAAATCAATTAAATGTTTAATGAGTGATAAGAGGCCACGTGACATAATGGATAGAGACCTGGCCTTTGTATCAAGGAACGCCTAAGCTCAAGTAAGTTCTACCCTTGACCCTGCTGGCTGTATGGGTATTTCACGTAACTCTCAATAGAACCGAAGTCCTTGGTTTCAAATCTCACCTCTTTCACCTGTTACTTATATCCCTGGTCAAGCCATCTAATTTCTATATGCCTCAATTTCTTTATCTGTAAAATGAAGTGGTTGGACTCAATGAATCCGTGATCCTGTGATCCTATGATCCTTTGCACATGGTAAGTCCAGGATGCTTATGGATCTTTTATTCACTTGCAGCTGAGTCATCTGAGTCTAGCTGTATCCAGAGTATCATCCCCAATCCTTAGATCAGAGCGCCATTTCTAAAGGCTTAAAGCACACAGCTGGGAAGAGGAAATTGCCAGAAGTTTTTGGAAAATGTTAGATGAATTGATTAGTAGCCTCTTCATCTCCATTAGATAATAAAGAAGGATTTTCTATTCAGCATCATGAACAAGTTCCTTCACCACATTTTTTTTTAAGGCAATTAGGGTTAAGTGACTTGCCCAGGGTCACACAGCTAGTAAGTGTCAAGTGCTTGGTCTGAGGCTGGATTTGAACTCAGGTCTTCCTGACTTCAGGGCTGGCGCTCTATCCACTGCGCCATCTAGCTGCCCTTCCTTTACCACATTTTAAGTGTGGTAGAAAGAACACTGGTTCTAGAATCACAGGTCATGGGTTCAAATCCCAGCCCTACTCATCACAATATGTATATCTCTGGGCCTTGGCTTTTGCCTCTATAAATTGAAAGGGTTGGCCTAATTCAGAGGTTCTTAACGGAATCTGTGAACCTTTTTTTTTTAACATTTTGCCAATTTATTATTTATTTATTTTTGATATTCCTTTCTTTTTAAATTTTGAATTACCGATTCTTTCCTCTCACTCCTCTCCCACTCATTGAGAAGGCAAGCAATGTGATATCAATTACATATGTGAAATCAGGCAAAATATATTTCCATATTAGCCATATTTTTTTTAAAAAACCAGAAAAATAAAGAAAGTCAGAAAATTATATTTCCATTTGTACTCAGAGTTCATCATTTCTTTTTCTGGAGATGGATAGCATTTTTATTTTTCATCATGAGTCCTTTCAGATTGTCTTGGATCATTGTATTGATCAGAA